CAGTTCTGAGGACCAGCCAGGGAACACGCAGTGGATCGCCAGGGCCCAGTCAGGGTGCCAGCACAGCGCTTGGTTCCCTCGGGCATGGGGACGCTTTGAGTCGGGACTGCCTGAAGGCAGCTCACAGCAACCGCCTCTGGGAGGGGACTCGCGACAACTGGAGGGGTTTGGGGGAGGGGGAGCTGTTGTGCTGTATGGATTTTTACAAAGGGGAATGCGTTCTTGAATACCCTGCGCAATTAAAAAAGCTGGAAATGGGGTTGAACAGGAAGGCGCCCTCTCTATAAAAGCTGTACACAGGACCGCATTGGGGACTTGTAGAGAACCTGGTAGCACATCCCCTGCCAGGTTTCTTCTCTCTGAATATGCAAATGAATCTACGACAGGAGGGGAACCATTGTGACTTAACCCCACTACTGCCTTCTAAGGAAGAGGCCTGAGGCCTGGAGGGGCTGGGGGTGGGGGGGCTCTTCTTCACTGGGTTAAGTTCGAGTTCAGGGGCTAAGAGCCTCTCCCAGAGAGGCACATGGAGGGGCAGACCTGCCCCTGTGGTTTCTGAAGCTGTCCATCTCGGTGGGAGTAGAAAGCTTGGTCTTCCTCTCGAGCGGGGGGCTGAGGGCTTGGGACTAATAGACCCCGCACTTAGCAGCCCGATCCATGAGCTCCCACACCACGCACGCGGGCGCCTCAGAACTCCACAGGAGATAACATGGTCAAAATCACGCGCATGAGAGCGGGCGACCTGCCTGCCCTTTCCCAGACCCGTCTCTAGGGGAGTGGGCAGCTGTGCTCCGATCTAGCAGCCAGCCTGGACTGCAAGCAAGGGCCAGGAGTGGGGGCCACATCTACCCCACAGATAGTAGCGTTTGATACCCCTACGGGGTTGTAAAAATCAAATTAGTGGTCACATGTAAAAGCCAGGAGATGTCACACAGAAACCAGAAGGTCTTTCTAAAACACAGAAACCCTGGCCACATGGAGGCTGGAAACACAGCATGTCTATAGCACAGTGTGATGGGGCTGGAGCCTGGCTGCCCCTTTGAGCCAGGTGTGTGTCCTCCTGTGGGCACAGTCCCTACTATCCTGTCCTGGGCTACCTGCCCACACGCCTGGACGCTGTAGGCAGCTGAGTTTGCCAACCCTGGACTGACGTGGGGCTGGTTTGAAGCCTACCTTCACAAGTCCCTGATCTGTCCCGCTGAGCCTCCATTGCTCTGGCTGGCAATGCCTCCGGGGCTGATGGCTGTAAGGCAGTGGGGGGACTCAGCCGCTTCACACAGACTCGACAGAACAGATACCTAGTTTCTTGGTGACTTTGGCCAACCAGTTGTTAAATGGCACTCAGAAGCTAGGTTCCCTCTAAGCTGGGCAGCCACCCCTTGTGGACATCACAAATTCTAACATTAATCACACATCTTTTTTAACGCTCACCTGCTCAGTAGTGTATTCTGAGCATCTGTTGTAATGTTCATTCCATCCATAGGTATGAAGAATTAGATGGAAAGATGCTAGTAATATGTATTTCTTCATTTCATAAAACTGGTTGTACTTTCGGTGAGCTATTTCATTTTTATTCCCTTGTGTTCGTTACCTCAGGAAACAAACTTACAACATTAAGGGGGAAAGTGTTTCGGCTTTGTGCGGTGCCCACATTCCCATGAGATCCGAGTGAATGATGCAATTCCTGAAAGTGTTCAAAGAGCTAAAAATATCATCAGAACAATTGCTTAAGTCCAGCAGAAGGGGAAGGGTTTTTTCAAAGATGAACATAATATGTTCGCAGAAGAGAGGTCGCCTGTTTCTAACAGATCAGACACAAGGGCTCTTGTCGAACTGGCCTCCCTAGTCTAAAGGAATGGGGTCCTCCTCCTGCAGTGAAAAGACAGTAAAGAGAGATCAACAGCCGATGACGCTCAGATAAAAGTGAAGAATATTTCAAGTGAGGACGCCAATCAAGAAGCAATATGGAAATACCTTAATTAACAGTTTTACGCTTTTTCTTTTGGTCAGAATTAATTTTTTCACTAATATTCTTTTCTTTAAAAAAAATCATTTTAATGGGGGCTCTTACAACTCTTATTACAATCCATACATCAATTGTATCTGACACATTTGCGCAAATTTGCCATCATCTTTTCTAGACAGTTGCTTTCCATTGAGCTCTTGGGATCAGCTCCTCTTTTTTTGCCTCCCTCCTTCCCCCTTCATTAATATTTTAAAAAATTCTTATAACATAATCCTGTTCTGTGCATCTCTTTTATTATTTTTATTTAAGTATTAACTACATGACATAATAAACTACCTTTTCATATATGTATATATATATATATTTAAAATGGTCACCAGACAGGGAAAACCCTTAAACTCACTGCCACGAGGTCAGTACTGTCTCATAGTGATGCCCTGTGGGTTTTCGAGACTGTAACTGAATATGGGAGTAGAAAGCCCAGTCTTCTCACCCAAAGAGCTGCCGGTGGATTCGAACTGCCGACCATGCAGATCACAGCCCAACATGTAACCCCTGCACCACCAGAACTCTTAGGGCATGGGACCAGATACGAAATGATTTGAGTCCCACTACTGCTGTCAGGGTGAGGCAGGGCGGTGTTGATTACACTGGGTGCTGGCGGCACAATGTCACCATTGTACAAGGGTGCTCTCCGGGGCCCCTGTGCTCGCCTTTGGGGTCCTGCGTCATCCCAG